AACAAACAAAATACAGAACATAAAAATCATACACAGCTAAAAACACAACAATCATACCATTCGAAGTGGGGCTGCAAGTCTTTAGCCCCAGGCCTGTCGGAACAGCCAGGTTTTAAGGGCTATGCGGAAGGCCTGGAGGGTGGTGAGGGTACGAATCTCCACGGGGAGTTCGTTCCACAGGGTCGGAGCAGCCACAGAGAAGGCCCTCCTCCAGGTAGTCGCCAGTCGACACTGGGCGGCTGATGGAATTCGGAGGAGGCCTAGTCTGTGGGATCCATGCAAGGAAGGTTGCTGCAAAAGGAAGCAGGAGACGGCCACAAAGAGCAGATAGGAAGTTGACCATGCTGGGAAGGTTGCTGACATAGGAAAAGGGACAGAAAGTCTTTCCGGGCCAAAACAAAAGGTCAGGTGGTAAGTCACGTGATTTGTTTAGTACTTATCGTACCTCCCCAAAACAATTAACGATGAGTACTAAGGTACCACTGTAGATAACAGACATAGAACTGTTATTTGAGGAAACCTGTGGTTGCCTGTCTTGGAGCTACATCTATTTAACCTGCTGTTTCTTTGCATATCTCTTGAGCTACTTGTAGAAGAAAACTACTCTGAATAGTTTTGCAGAAATACTCCTATTATGTTCTAACATACATTTATCCAAGCATGTGGGGAAACTCCAAATATCTCTAAGTCTTTTCCAGCAGTCTTATTTTTCATTCAACTCTCTCTCCTTGTGGTTTTGCATTCCATCCAGATAATTCCCTTGAAATCTAACTTCACAGTTCTCTGGATATATGTTATAGCATAGTATGATAACTGACCTTTCTAAAAGATGATTATTTTCAGCTAGTTCTTTAACAACACCTTCCATTTCTTCTTTCAGTTTCTTCATACTATAAACAGATACATTAATAAATAGAACCATGTTAAAATAATTATGGAATGTTTCTGGTATTATTCACTGAACATTGTAGAAGTGTTTTAGGAAAAGTAGATACAAAAAAAATGCCCATGTACAATGGTGATTTAAAAAAAAAACCTGTAAAATTTGAACCATTATCCTCATTCATCTGAATGTTATTATTAAAATAGATATGATAGATAACTATTTAATAATTTTGTTCTCCTGCAAGATGACAGCCGAGAACAGAGAAGGTACATGCAATTCTCTATCAATTGCTGGGCAACCTCCCTCCCTCCTCCCAGATATCTAAAGTCAGTCCAACCTCTCTTTCTGCAGTGCAAATTAATTTGGCAACTATAATATTTATTTGTTTGTTTATTTCTATTACCACCTATCTCAAATCAGAGTGACTCTTGGCAATGAATCATCAGTTAAAACCAAATACAAACACAATACAAAAAAATAAATATATATAGCAGCTGAGAAAAAATTATAACCATAGATGTTAATACAACTTGGAAAGAAGGCCCTTAACACACTTGGGCCCCATGGCAAGAATGTAACCTGGTCTTCCAGGCCTTATGGAAGAGAAACTATCCTAATCTCTGAAGGGAGAATTTTCCATGGCAAAAAAGATGCACCTCCTAATCCGCACCAGCAGATATTCCTGCCAGACTGGATTGGGTGAGTAGAAAAAACTGATGCCTCAGGTAACTGGTTGCAAGTCAGGTAGTAACAGCTCACAAGTTAACTTAGAGAACAGACTTTTCTGAAACAGAACATCTGAAACTGACAAGTTTAAGTTTTAGCATAATTATAATTATGAAGAAAGCATATAAAAGTTTTATTTGTTCAAATAAAAATTCTTACCCAAGAGTCATTTCCACCAAGGTGTTTGAACTTGGATAAACTGGATTAAATGTATGTTTGATCCCACTGGAAGCAGCAAACATCTTATGGGGCAATATTTCATCTAACTGCAATGAATGCATAAATCCATGTAAATGACAAAACCACCGCATTACAAATATTTATTTCCCACTAATAATCACTGGATTTTAAGGATACAAAAGAATTCCACTCTGGTGATATCACTGAATACTTATCACTGAATATTAACATTGTTTTACATAGCCTATTAAAACAAGTATTGATCCCATTCATGTTACTGGAGTCTCCAAGCAAATTGCTCATTCCCCGACTGCATTATGGAAATGCAGTGTAGTAATGATTGGGTATTTAGAATAATTAAGAACATCACCTCATTTATATAGTCCTGGTATTTGGACACTTCTTCTTCAATATCAAAGCATAGTTTTCTAAGAGCTAGTAACTGTTTCCTTAGAAGAAGCATCTTTCTGGAAAGAAATATATTTTATATGAAATTATTGTATGGCTTTTGTTAATACGTGATGCTATAATACAGTACAGTAATATTAAATGTTATTCAAAAAAAGGAACTTACCTCATCCAATCCTCTGCCTTGTCTAAGAAGGTTTCATATTTGTTGACACATTCATCCTTGAACAGAGTCATAGCTTTTGTGGCATGCAAAAATAGTTTTTGCCTGTAATACCCAGAAAATAAATCAGAATAAGGTACCAATTTTCCCAATTTATTTGAGAGTTTAAAAACCTATAGAACAGGCACAGCAATTCACCTTCATGTATATAGAGAATACATTAGGTCAATGTGGTCAAGTAACATTTTAGTATGTTCTTGCCATGATAATTCAAATTAATGCACTGCTTTATTTTGAATGGACTCATTATAATGGATTGGCTATAAATTACTTTGATTTGATTTGATTTATTGCATTTCTATGCCGCCCTATTCCCAGAGGGACTCAGGGCGGCTCACAAACCAAAGTAAGGGTGGGGGGGAATACAAACATGGAGAAAAGACAACGGACAAACAACTACAACAATTTAAAAACAGTCAACAACCACACAATTCGAGCGGGGGCGGGGAACTCATCAGCCCCGGGCCTGNTGAAAGTTGGAGGGGGTTGAAAGAGGGTGTATGGTAGGCCAAGGTGGTATACTGGGTTTGTATTGTAGAGGGCATTTTCTATATAAGTGAGGGCCGTGTTTATTACTCAATGTAATATGCCCTGACCAAGCACAGTGAATATGTGATTGTATAGAATGAAAACATAATAAAATATATTAAAAAAAGAAAAAAGAAAAAAAAGAAAGCAAGACAGAAAATCAACTTGTTTGAGATGTGGTGCTGGAGAAGGCGCCTATGTATTTCTTAGACAGTAAAGGTGATTAACAAGTAAGTACTGGAGTGTATAACACCAGACACTGGAAGGCAAAATCACAAAACTTCATATCACTGACTTTAGTCATGTCATGCAGGGAATTCACTGGAGAAAGCAATTATGTTTGGAAGGGTTAGCAGTAAAAGGAAACTAAGGTGTCAAAGAACATGGTGCTGGACACTATCAAAATTGACACCAACAGAGCATAGAAAAGCTCAAAGAAGTAGTGCAAGATCAGAAGATGTGGAGAGAGAGTGGGCTTAACTGAATGGATGTCATCATCATCATCATCATCACCACATGCAGGAGGTTTAGAAGGAGCCACACCTTTCCATTCTCCTTTATCCATAAATGTAGACAGTGAAATTGTGAGCCATATTGCTTGCACCGTCTTTATAGTTAGGTCTCTTGGCATGAGCCTTTCTTACAATATTTCTAATCCAAATGCTTTTGTTTATTATTACTTGTAATCATACTACAATTATCCTATTTTCTAGCAAAATCTTTTATTGCTTCTTATTTTTGAAACCAAGTATTACGGCCAATTCCACAACTTTATAGTATTGCTATCTTTAGCTCTTGTTTATTTTCATACAATAAGCTTGCTCTCCACCAATGTTTTCTTATTCTTGCAACCAAATATTACACAAAATTCTCTAACTTTAAAATCTTGCTATCTTTATATCTCTTTCAGCTCATGTTTACTTTCATTTAATAAGCTTATTCTTTACCATGTTTCACTGGTTCTTTTTTCTACCCAAACACCCACTGCTTTGCTTGCCAGGAGCAGACAGTGGTGACGATCTGGAACAGGTTTTATATATATCATGAATTCTGATGTTCAAAATAATAATAATAAATCTGTATAAGTAAAGACTACCTTTTGAATTTTTGAAAGCAGATTCTGAAAGTCTTAACACCTTCTTTTTGTAGGCTTGTGTGTATGGAAAGGGAGAATATACACTATGTTTTCTAAATGAATTATCTCATCTCTGCATTATATAAAAATTATCAAGAATAAAGAAGAGAAAAAGGACTTATCTCCCCTCCCTTTCAGCGTATGAAATCTATGTTCAAAACATCACTCCATAGCAAATATAAGCATTAATTCCAGATATCTATGCAGCCCAACTAGGGATGGTTAGTAGATGTGTGGAATAGAAAGGGAAAGCCACAAAATCTTCTACAGCATTACAGAGTTCCCATTGTTGGAATATTCTGAAGTGTGTCAGGCCATTTACCCAGAACGGGAAAAAAAATTGCAAATTCCCACGTACAATTTAACAAATACTAACAATGTTTGCATGGAAATAAGTCACTTTGAAAATGTTGGTGGTAAATAAAATGGATTGACTCATAGAATATAGTAAGCATCATCTGCTAGCCTAAAATAGTAGCTGGGGAATGGGGTGGAGGCAGGAAATGCTACTGTTTGACACCATGAAAATTTGCCTCCTGGTTAAAGAAATACTAAGAAATGCTTCATATGGGCCTATCTAGGCAATTAATATTAATTAATCTGTTCATTAAATTTTAGAGCCTCTGAAACTAAAATTATTCTTGGTTTTAGATACAAAAAATATACTTTGTTTTAAATAGACAGAGTATTTACAATTACATATGCATATTTATATAGGCCATAATCAGAAAATAAATATCTGAATGGACAGGTAGAAGACTCTAGTACAGGTTGATTGTCAGCCATCCTTCTTCACAGATTATGACAAGAGAGTATCATAGAATTAGGGGAGCATTGTTCATATCCATATAGGTGCAACACCCTCTGAACAGCACGGAAAGGCAGGTATGGACCAAGCGGATGAAAGCAGGAGTTGTCTGTAGAGAAGATCAGTGTGGGTAGCCTAATTTCGCCATGCAGCAGTAGCTCGCCAGCAGGTGTAGTGGCAACAGAAATTATAGCATTCTGTAGTCCTTCCCAAAAGATATTACCTCAGCTGGGGCCAGTGCACTTACTGGGATTCCAAAATGGTCCGAACCTGAGTATAGTGCTGTTTGTCATCAACAACCAAGCTGCAAAGATAGCAGTGTTTGCAGCTCCTTCTAAGGATGTCCTAAGTCCTCCTGGAGCTGTAGCATTTTCATCTTGGGCGCTCCTCACTTGCTTTCATCTGTGGAACTTGGGATCCTGCTGAGCTGAACGGGAAGCATTTTCTCCAGCAGAGTTCCCACCATGCTGTATATAGACTGAGCCACTTCGGGAGCTCTTGGGATAGCCCACAATGCCTCTTGTGTGGACCTTCACTATGAACTGGCTCCAGAGCCTGTTCACAGTATCCTTCAGTTTTTCTTGCCTGGTGGCAGGATTGGTGGCAGCACATCCTTGGTCATGCTCCCACTCAAGCAGGGCAGAAAGACCAAAATGTATGCCATTTAAATGTGCCGGGTTGTTGCTTACTTAATACCCGACACTCTGCTACTTAACATGGATTATTTTTGTATTAGACTATTGAATAGGGCAGTTTTTAACCCACAGGATAGTAATTGAATTACAAAATAGGTGCAGAGGGACATCTACTTTTAAGTTTCTGCAGGCTGAAATTTTACATATATTGTACTGTGTTTCCCCAAAAATACGACAGGGTCTTATTTTCTTTTTACCTACAAAATATCGCTTGGGCTTTATTATGGGGGGTTTATTGTGTTGGGGTTGCTGGGCAGCTGCTCTCTTGCGAGCGGGCTCCCAAAGAGCCAGGCACAGCCTCATGGACGAATGGCTGTGTTGCGCTGTCGCAGCCGTGCAGCACAACAGCCATGAAGTGACCATGTTCATGAGCAGCCACCCGGCAAACCCTCTTTGCAGTCGGGCACAGCACTGCTCACCAACCTAGCGGTATCCTGAAGGCCCCAAGCAATGTGATCACCTTTGCGTCCCCCCAGGTTCCCGCGGCTTGGCACCTTTGGGATACTGCTAGGTTGGAGAGTGGAGCTCTGCCTGGCTGGAGGTGGGCGGTTGTCCTGGGGGCTTATATGTGGGGGGCTTATATTTTTGCCCACCAGAAAAATGTGGCATGGCTGTATTATGAGGACATATCGTATTTTCGGGGAAACACGGTACATAGGCAGCTCCCAGTTGCAGTATAAGCATTATAACTGTTTTTACACATGAATTGTCTAAAATAAGGGAGATGCTCTTTCCCTACTAAATTTTAGATAGTGAATGTTGGAGTATTTAAATTAGGCATTTCTGAGCATATTTATCAGTAGACCTAAGCAAACTGAGATTTCACATTTTCTGCAGTGACATCATTACTTAACCAAATCCCATGCAATCTGGTGGTTAAAAGTTTATGGCAGCAGATATAGCATAGTAATTAAATAGATTTTGCTAGCACAGTTCTCTGCATCTTTCCTAAATCTCCACTTTGTTCCCCTGAAATAGAATTGCATACCATAACTTTGGAGAAAGGAGAGATACTGCAGTGCTGAAAAATGATTCACTCTATATTTAGCTGCAACACAAAGGTAAGAGTCATAATTTCACTGAATGTTTAAACATATTTTTTCTTCTGTTCAATCATGTTAAGGCATAAGGTTAGAAACTAGGAGACCATGCGGAAGTTGCAAAAACAATAGGGAAATAATTTTCCTGTATTATTTAACTTTAAAATGCCAAGTGCCCATCTATATAGAAATTAGGTGTTTTGTTTTGCTTTTTATATAAGCTCCACTGAAAGAAACACAATGTGCACAAAGCTTCAAGCTACCTAATTCTGAAATAGTGTCAAATTAGCTAGTCTGTTCCAGGAGTGACTCGGAACAGATTGATACACCAGCCTTGGATATCTGACAAACAGGAAAACAAGCTATTACTGAAATCAACAGGATGTCATTACCTTGCTTTGGTTGGCCTGCAAGAATTAATCACCAGAAGTGAAACTTTGAACATTTTTGTGGGTTTGAGTCAGACCTATTCAGATTCAACTACTATAAGACTTAAAAGACCTCCAGTATTGTAGGGATCTAAGCATGTATAACCATCCATCTGAATCCAACTCTGTATGTGGGGCATCTGCATGAAACATATTTATGCAAACTTCTGTAACTTCTGTTTTATTTAAGCTGATGAAATCTTAATACAGGTAGTTCTTGACTTACAACCAGTTGCTTAACAACTGTTAAATTATAATGAACTTGAAAACAGTTACTTGTAATCTGTCCTTGAAGTTATAACTGCCCCACCACTCTTAGTCACATGATCAGGAGCATTGACAACCAGTTTCAGCATCCTGCAGTCACATGAATAAGTTTTGTGATGGTTTTTGATAAATTGGATTTAGATT